AAACAATACCATGCGATGTTTCACTTGATCTGTTTGACTTAATCGCCAACTGGGATGACTTCCTGTTAATAAAACACATTGTTTGTGTATTCGTATGTGTTGTTCGGACATCATGTGTTGTGAATCAGTGTTTTCTATTTTGAAGCACTAGATAAAAGTAAACCCTTTAATGGAAACGGTATTCCCCAAACTTGTCCAAAGCCTTGACCTTAAAACAGAGACTAGAAAGCGCAAGTTTGTGTTATAACCACGTTGAAAAAGTCACACTCGATAACTAGTTGCCCAAGTTGCTCTTAAATTATTGAAGAAATTCAGTTTTTCTTCAAATTGAAACCTCATTTTAATCGTTTTTCTATTAAATTTAATATTTAATAATTTATAACTTTTTTATTATAAAAATAATACCAAAAGTTGAGTTCTTCTAAACTGTTTCAGAATAAACTATAAATAACACAAAAAGTCAACTCTATTTTTGGGGGCAAAATTTCAAATCTGGTAATGTTCTAAATCTTAAAAATGTCACTTTAAACTAATAATTCTTTTCAAAACGCTGTTTTTCACCAAGTTATTGTAAAATTAATGGTTTGGTTTGTATTTTTTTGTAGGTTAACTTTTCACAATAAAAGGATGGTTTAAAAACTTTAAACATAAAAACAAAGTAAAAATATGTTGGACAATAATGTGTATTGAAAACGGTGAAGTTCTGATATTAGACAAGTACTGCTGTATGTTAGCTGTTATAATACTATTGCAATGTAACAAACTTGGTTAACAGAGAGAAATGTAGTTTTGCCATGAAAAAGAACATCTTTATTCATCTTCAGAGTTCTTGTGTTTAGTCATTTCTGAAAGTATCTTTTCCTCTATTTATGGCTGATCAAACAATCAGGAAGCCGTCTAGTGCTTGTTAAATTGTTGTTGGATCTCTTCATTAAGAGCTGTTGTAATTTTTTTCACTCTTTTTTGTTTTTTAATTATCATCATTTTGAACATATAATTACATCTAAACTCCTTTTTATAACAAGCTTTTCGATCAATCCATATTTAGCCTTTAAAAAACGATCAATGTTCTGTATTTTTGGCTTTACTATTCTATTTTTACAACACTACCATTATTCACTTCATTGATTTAGTTGTTATATTTAATTTTAGTTTTAAAACAAATATCATTTTCCCCTCAATATTTTGTTATCAGATAATCGACATTTTGTTTTGCTCACTTTTTTACTAAACCAAAAAAATTGTGTTATGAAAAAGAAAATCAATAATAAAGTAAGGCGAAATAGTCGCACTTGGAGAAAAAGTCGCACCACAAATCTAAAAACTTCTCTTTTTTTCCATTTTATACTTTTTTATCATTTTTTATTTGATTATTTGATTATTTTTTGTTATAATTTATTCATTTACTTCCTTTTTATTTCTTTTGGCTAAAATGGTTTGTAACTTTTCTTGAATTATTTAAAAATGCAAATTTTTGTTCGGTATTTCAAGCCTTCAATAATTTTATCTAAACCCGAATTATTAAACTAAAAACATAATACTTAACTTTGCCATTTTTTTGTTTGAATTTTTAGAACTATAAATAATAATTTATTATATTATGTTTAAACTATATTTTTAATAGAAACTATATATTATGTTAATAGCGTTTGTTATGTCTATAAATAATTAAAACAAATTCTAAAGGTTTAGTTTCATCTTTAAAAAAAGAAAAACATATCTAATTTTTTATAAAAATGTTTATGTTTGAATTTAAAAAATAACAATTGTAACTCCAATACACCACAATGGATAATGATATAACTAAAGTGCACGACATTACTTTTATAATTTGTGTGTTTTGAATCTCAAATTTTGCGACCATATTACTAATTTATAGTTTTCAATCAAAACATATCTATGTTGAAATGTTTAAAAAACAACTTCACGTTTTATTCAAAATATACAATATTATTCTGATATCATTAGCATACATGAACAAGTCGGCGATACATTTTTATATTCAAAAATGTCACACATTGGAGATACACAGATTATCAAAAACATGATCAACTTTTTAAAAATTTAACAATTAAAAATAATAAAACAATGTTAATAATTATTTATTGTATTATAATAAAATAATAATATTTTATAAGTATTTTAATTTATTTAATTATCAAAATAAAAAAATGATGTTTAGAAAACTTTGTTTATGTTGCTTTCATAATCATATTTTAACCAAAACAAGAGAATTCTCTTGTTAAAGTATTACTTACAATACCACTATTTTGCAATTGTCATATTAAAACTCTAATAATACAAAAGAATAAATTTTGATTAATTGACTTGTTCATAAGAATAATAATTACTATAAATAAAGGGATTCATGAGGATTGTTCATTTTTCCGAGGATGGTAAATATCTTACACTTGAATATATAGCCCCGACTGACTACAACTTAAAGATTGGTTTTATATGAAAAATAAATAATAACAATAACTTAATTATTATCACAAAACATTTTAAAACATCATTTTGTGCTAATCACTTGATCAACAAAAATATATTGAATAGTCACAATGGTTGAGAGAAATTTCAAAAAAAAACAAATAAAATATCATTGCTCATTTATTATAAATATTAATAAATTTATTAAAATAAAATAATAAACATGATAATAATATATCAATCAAAAAGCGAACAAGAGACTCAGAACATAACAAATAAAAATAATTTCCATTTTCAACAACACTGAATATAAAAATTGTTCAAGCGAATGAAGAAACTGACTTCTTGATATCAATTAAGAGTGCGGTATTTGATGGCTTCAAGTCATTGTAGCTTTAAAAAAGTACTTGAAAAAACAAAAATGAAACAATTAAAGATTTAACGTTGGTAGTGTCAACTGAAATTAACATTTATTTGGCATGTTGTATTCAATTTAGACAACATTTTATATAATGTAATTGACTACTATTTGTGTTTTATTCTATAAACTTTACATTTTTAATAAATTGTGTTTTATTTTTGTTTGTTTTTGGTTATTGTTGTGTTGTTGTGTGTTTTTGTTTGTTTTGTTTTAAAGTCTAATAATTATCAAATATTGTTCATCAAGTTATAATATATTAATGTTTACTATTAAATAATAAATTAAACCCATAATTTATGTTTCAAATAATTAATCAATTCAAAAGTTAACAACATTTCAATGGTGTAATTGATTTGTTCTTAATGTGGGTTTGGTTTGGATCGTTTCTCGATAAGTTGTTAGTTATAATATAAATGTAATTCTAAATAAAAAATTATTAAAATTAATTTGTTTAAATTCTGATTTAATAATAATAGTACAGTGTTAATAACTCATTAAAATGTTTAATTATAATAAACCATTCATACAAGTATAAGTTCTGTATTATTTTTGTTTTCGAACATCTTATTTCCAATAAGATGTTTTTCCAATAAGATTTTTCGGTTTTTATTTTCAAAATGAATCATATTATTATAATAAAATGTATTAAATTTTGATATATTTTGTTTATTAAATTGAACAAATATTCCCATAAAAGAATTTAATAAGAATAATAACAATTTTTCGAACATATCCATGCAAGTCTTTTATTAAATTCGTTTTTTATTTGATTTATATAAATAGAAAAATGTTCAAATTTACACATTATTTTTTATTATAACTTTATATAAAATGAAACTAACGAAAGACCATTCTATGCTTTAATTAGTTTCATAAATTGTTTAAATTCAAATCTATATATTATTTGAGCGAACTATTAAATGTTTTTTTTGTTTTCTAATAAGTTCTTTTCTTCATAAATTTTAAAATAAAATATCAATTTTCCAAGTTTTTTTCATCAACTTTTCTTTTTATTTAATCTTTTTATTTCATTTTGTTCTGGAAGTTATACCAATTTTTTAATGTGTTTATGGATTTTAACCACTTTATGGACCCACTATACTTGTGTTGAAATGCGTTAATTATTTTAATTGTGTTTACTCATCCGGTTTTTTGTTTTTATTTTTTTTCTGAACAAATTATTCTGTTTTTGTAAATAAAATGAAGATAAATAATAGAGTTAAAAATTAACAAAATGTGGGATTATTATGATTGATGTTTTTTAGTTTCAAAGCTGCTTTAATTTAATTATTTTTCTTTTTTTATTCTTTGGAATTGTTTTAAAAAGTGAATTGCTAAAAAAATAAGTTTTAAATTGTAATTATTATTGTTTTTTTGCCGATAGTTTCGTTTGTTGTGGGAACTTTCTATGGTTCTAATAATATAACACTTAATAAACAACGTTTGGGAAGTGTAAAACGTTTACAAATCGACTCTAGTTTTTTTTTACAAAGAGGTAAGTAAAATGCCTATTATCGAAAATATAATTAATTCGACCCAAAAGAACTTAAGATCTTTTTGGTCGAGACAAAGTCGATGATGACCAATATCCACTTGAAATAATAAATAGTTGTATTTTTCTTTTGTAATTATAATTTTATTTTTTATTTTGAAAAAATAACAATCAGAAAGTGAAAGATATATTTTATATCTTGAAAATATTTATGATTTTACATAAACGCTTACAAATTTAGATTATTAACTTCAAGAAAACGGTTGGTAAAGATAAATACACTTTAGGCAAAAGTGCTTTAAATATGTTTAAAAAACACAAAGGCTACAGAGTATAAAATGGTGCTTAGTGTCTCGGGTTTTTAATAATTATTTTACATTTTTAGTATAATAAATTATAAACAATTGATGGATATAATTCAAAAAGTGATTTAGAGTGGTTAGATAAAAACTTTATCTAATTTAATTTTTTTGTAAAATTGTAATTAAAAAATGATTAAAATGTTTTCATGTCTAACCATGTATTAAATTCTAACACCTTCAGTGTTTCTGGGTTAATTACTTGAAATTACACAATATTTAATAATACAATAAAAATAAAATAAGTAAAGATTAATCACTTTGAATTATTTAAACAACAAAATTACTAACAATTTTAATGTCAACGCTATCTGGTTATCACGCCATGATAGTTTCAATGTATTTTAAAACAGTTGAAGACTTTATTAACATAGAGTTTGTATGCAAAAAATATCTCAACAATATGGGGAAGTTTCATTTAAATCCGATTCCGTTAAATCATAAAACAATAGGCCACTTTTTTAACATCGAGACACTTAATTTGTGGAACAAAAATGATGAAAATTTTGGAAATGGGTTTATTATCAATTCTCGATTTAATGAAAACACTGAAATCTATGAAAATATTAATAAAAATAGAAAAAGCGTTTTAAAAAAAGATTCTATCAAATCAATGTGTGGTTTTATGTTGATTTTGAAACTGTTGACAAAAATAGTAATCCCAACATCAAGTTTAAAAAGGCAATTTACACGAAAACTAACAGAATGAAGTATGGAAATAACATACCATTAATAGTGACATCAATTGGTGAGTGTTGTTTTAGTGAATGCAACAGTCTTTGCAACGTGACAATACCATCAAATATAACATCAATCGGTGAATATTGTTTCAGTGGATGCGACAATCTAAGAGATGTAACAATTGGTCAGAGTGTGACATTTATTAATAATTATTGTTTTAATGAATGCACCAGTCTCAGCAATGTGGTACTTTCAACAGACATTACAGCAATAGGTGATGACTGTTTTAATGAGTGCAGCAGTTTGAGCAGAGTAATTATTCCAGCAAATGTTAAAACTATTGGCGTTGGTTGTTTTAGTGAATGCACAAGTCTAAGCAGTATTATAATACCATCAAGTGTTACATCAATTGGTAATTGGTGTTTCAATGGGTGTAGCAGTTTGAAAGGTGTTACTATATCATCATGTGTAAAATCAATTGGCGAAAATTGTTTCGGCGGATGTTGCAGCCTAAGCAGTGTAACGATACCATCGAGTGTGACATCAATTGGTGATGGTAGTTTTTACATATGCAAAAGTCTAGTTGGTGTTACAATACCACCAAGTGTTAAAACAATTGGTGTTAGTTGTTTTGGTGGATGTATCGCATTGAATAATATTATGATACCATCAAGTGTAATATCAATTGGTGGTTATTGTTTTAATGGGTGTAGCAGCCTGAAAACTGTTACATTGTCATTAGACTTGACATCAATTGGTGATAAATGTTTCTTCGATTGTGATAGTTTAAGTAGTATTACAATACCATCAAGTGTGGTGTTAATTGGTGAAAATTGTTTTTCACTTAACACTACAGTTCATCGTGAGTTAACAACGAATAATGAGTAATTAATTTGGTTAATTAATTTAATCAACCTTCAATATAAATAATAAAAATTGAGAATGAATAAAAGTAAAATTATGACACAAATTAATACAGTCAAACCTCCCAAAAGTGGGAGGATGAATAATAATTTTTGTTCTGTTAAGAGCCGGCACTTTTAGCCAATCAAACCTCAAAAACAGCTCATAAAGAACTCTATTTTTGGTTATGGTTTGAATTGTGGACTCTTGAGAGAAACTTCTTTTCGTAAATCCCGCCTTTTGGAGGTTTTACTGTATCTCACGACCGCAAATTTGTTTTATTACATAATAATATATCAAAGACACATAGAAAAAAATCTTGTAGGGTTAAATAAAACTTTTATTATCAATATAATATCGAATCTTCACACATTTGATTGGATCGGTGTTGACTAATTAAACAAATAGATGCTTTTTATTATTGTAATATTTGTTATTTATTGATGTTTTAGTTTACTTAATTAAAATTAATTTGGAATAAAAAACAAAAAATAATCTATTGATAATAGATAATTAACCTTACGATTCTTTTTTTCTTTTATAAAACATTTTTTTAGAAAAAAAATTGTTTTGTTGATTAAAACGTCAATACCGTTAGTATTTTAATTAAAACATTTCAAAAAATTAAAGAAAAAAGGAAACCCTATAAACTATTGTTTGCGCGATTAATTTGTTTAGTGTTTGCATTTCAAAAGTGTCGCCACAAGTTAAGTTTTTTTTTATAACATATCAAGTTCAAAAAAAAATAAAATTTGTGTTTTATTTAAAACAGTAACAGTATCGTAAGGTTAAATAAATAGATACAAAAATAAATTAAACTTTTTATTTGGTTAGTTAGTAAATATTTGTTAACAAGACCTTTTTTTATTTTTCAAACATCGTTTATAAGTCTTTGCCAAATTATTATTAACCTGGAAATATGCAAAATAATAACATTCCTCAATATCATTTACTGTTTCTATTATCTGTTTTTATCATTTGAAAACTATTTAAAAATTTGAAAATTAACAATACATTATATTAATTATAATTATCAAATATATTATAACAACTTTACACACAAAAAACAACACTTGTCATAGTAAAAAAAACAAAAAATAGTCAATT